TGAGTTTTGGGGGGGTTCGTAGTGTTTAAAGTCATGGTATTAAATGGCACAACAAAACAAAAATGCACACATTCTTTAAATTCTAAGGTTTTACATATAATAACATAATTAAAATATTAATAATAATAATAATAAAATCAGGTCCTTAGCCAGTTTTACAAGTACGTAAATACAACCTGAGATGAACAGCAGCACATGACATTGAACACCTTGTTATTATTTATTTAACACTATATTCATAAAAGATAAAATATAATAATATAGCAGACTCTCAAAATGATAAAGACTAAACTAAAATGAGAATAGAGAGATTTTTTTAAAAAGAAACTGTAATACCTTTCTTTTTGATTCGATCCAAATGCCTTCAGTTTTTTTTAGGGCAAACCCATAACACGTCACTGCTGAGTGTCTCGTTCGATTTCAGCTTTATTTGAACACTTGTTCTTATTTCCCTGTTTTCTTGTTGAGGACGTGAATGTTTACTCATATTCGGACTCAGCCCGGGGCTCCCCTAGCCAGAACAGGAAGTGATAGTTTAACAGGCTGTGCTAGCCAGCTAGTTCAAGTCAAATAGGTTAGCTTGCCTTTTAACACATTGTTTATGATGGGACTGTTCGGGAAATCACAGGAGAAGCCAGCAGCTGATTTGGTAAGTACTGACTGATGGTGACCAGAACCTGTCTTTAAGAGCTGTGTGGACAAAAAGAAAAGAAAGACAGTGGCTCTAGCTATCCTTGCTAACGTTAGCTGTCACACAGCTAGGGCTTGTCCGTCCTGTATGTTGATACTTCAGGCTGATAATTAAGTAGTCAACAGCACTCTAGTTGAAAAAAAACAACAACAACAAGTTTGACATTAGCTTAAATAGTTTATTTTCTTTTTTACACTATTCAAGATCACACGCTTGTATACGGTGTCCATTAGCCGATTTATGCTTTCTATAGTAGTGTGCCTGTTAGCATACATGCTAATATAAGTCTTCACTGTAAACAAACCATGGCTGTCCTCACTTTAGCCAACCTTATGAGCCATTACATATTAGCAGCTGTACATGGCGTCGTTGTATTGCGACACCCGTGTTAAAACGAATATTACACGTACAGCCACCTGTAGCTGGCCTAGAAACAGAGACTGTGTCAAGTTTTAATAAGATAATGTGCTATTTCAGGTTAAGGAGTGGAATCATAAAATCAGGAAGGAAATGAGAGTGGTGGACAGACAAATTCGAGGTAAGACTACAGCCAGAGTTTGACACTTCCAGGACTGTTTACATTCAGTTTATATCACTTTCACCTAAATATCTGATAACCAAACTGAGGAGTTATAAATCTAGTGTAAGTACAATGTATTTGAATTGTCTGATAATTGCTGTCATTTAATTATTCATCTGGAAGGTGTAAGATAATCATTTGACTCAATAAGTCATAAAGATACCAAATTAGCTTTTTGTAAATGTAATAAATATAATCAAAGACCTGATAAATTGTGTGTTGTCTGTGTAATGAAATTGACATATATTTTGGTTTCAGATATTCAAAGAGAAGAAGAAAAAGTTAAACGATCCATCAAAGATGCTGCCAAAAAGGGACAGAAAGATGTGTGCGTGGTGCTTGCGAAGGAGGTGATTCAGTCCAAACGAGCTGTCACAAAACTTCACGCTTCCAAAGCACAGATGAACTCTGTAGTTCTCAGCATGAAGAATCAGCTTGGTGAGTGTGGCAGAGCACAAGATGGGGAGGAGGGCGTACTTAGTTTGTCACTTAGAGCAAGTTTTCTAATGACATTGTGATTATCAATGCTCTGCTCTGTCACTGAGGAAATCTGTTTTGTGTGTTTCCAGCTGTGGCGCGTGTTGCCGGAGCAATGCAGAAGAGCACAGACGTCATGAAAGCCATGCACAATCTAGTCAAAATCCCAGAGATCCAGGCCACCATGAGGGAGCTGTCGAAGGAGATGACAAAGGTCACTGTTTACCATGATATTATTGTTACGTGATTGTTACACTGTGTCACTGATGTTGTCTGATATTTTAATTCTGTTTATTTTGCTTTGTTGAATTTGATATTATTTTAGTTACAGTTGTGTTAAATTTTTGACCAATTTAATTGTTGTGCCAAAGAAATTTCACAACTTTTCATAGTAAAGCTAAAACTTGGCATATTTACCTTTCAGGCTGGTATCATTGAGGAAATGATGGAAGATACTTTTGAGAGCATGGAAGACGGAGAGGAGATGGAGGAAGCAGCGGAGGAGGAAGTCGACAGGATCCTCTTTGATATCACAGCAGGTGACCAAAATAAAATCACAGCTCAAAGTCACATTTTTGTTTTTGTTTGTTTTGGGGGATTTTTAGGGATTTTAAGTCTGAACCACAGATCAGCTATAAAGTCAAAACCCTGAAAACACTGGTTCTGCTTTCTCTTGTCAGGTGCCCTTGGCAAAGCACCGAACAAAGTCACAGATGCCCTGCCTGAAATGGAGCCCGCTGGAGCCACTGCGGCTTCAGATGAAGAGTCAGAGGAGGACATTGAAGAGATGCAGTCAAGATTGGCAGCCCTGAGGAGCTAAGGTGAACTGCCGCTGCGCTACCTGTCGAAGTCAGATGGCTCACTCCGTGAAGGACAGAGATCATTCTGGTGCAGAGGTTACAGTTTCGAGTATCCTCATCGCTTCTTGTTATAAATTCACATAATCATTTGGGGTTAACATTGTGCTACGACAGTCAATTTTTCGATAGTCATCTGGTTTACTCAGCCAGAAGAAAATAAGTTTTTGCTTTTTGTGTATGATTATCAAGGGTAAACCCTGGGTAAGTCTTTATTATCCAAAGTCAAGCAGAAGGGTAAGAAGGTGTACATATTGTAAGTAAGAAAAGCCTGCTGTGCCTACAGTGCTTCATCATACTCTTCTTCTTCTGTCCAAAGTTATTATAGACTGGTTGTGGAAGCATTTATGATCCCAAATGCAACAGACTGAATAACTGTTGATGACAAGTCACATCAGAAATGGCCATTCAGCTGTAGTTTTAATCACTTAGGATCAAATTATTATTATTTTGTTTGTTCTGCTTACCTGTAGTTAACCTACAAAATCCGAAACACTAGAGTCGGTGGATGGGGTTCACTTTTTGTTTTCTGTACAGTCTAGTCAAAATGTGTCGGTTCTTTCTGTGGCTATACACGCTACACTGATCGGAAACTCCACGCATACTACTTTACTTTTTTTTTTTGTTTTGTTTTTTGTTTTGACATTAGCAGTCAGCTCGTTAAATGTTTGACTTCATCCCCATGACTCCCTCCTAAACAGGAACAAGCAGAGGAAATAAGTTGGTTGTTCAGAACGTATGTACTGTGGACGTACTGTGTGTATATTTTTTCTATGTCATTGGAGAAAAAAATTAATTAACTTTTAAGAATAAAGCTGACAGTTACCAGTAACTTGTCTCTGCCTGTTTCTGCTTGCAGCATTGATCACGCTAACCTTTCTTTTTTTGTGTGTTGTTTTTTTAACATCTCAGGTCTCTTTTTGTTATAGTTGGCCTTTTGGGATATGTGAATCAGCCAATCAGCGGGTCAGAAAAAGTAGTTCACACAGTCGGTTTAATGCTGTCTGGCAGATAAAATGGCTCAACCGGCACACAAAAAAATAGCCTATATAAACAATAAAGACCTTAATGAGACTACTCCAAAGACAACAGTCTATCTAATTAAATGCAGGACCTATGAGTCAAACTATAATAAACTAATGCCTTCTTCTTCTTTCTTTTTTTTAAAGGAGCAGAATTTTAATTTTTAGGAAGGGTTCATTTTCAGTTCACCCCATTTCAAACCGGCTCTTTCTTTTTTTGTTTGTTTTTGGGGGGGTTTTGGTCCATTTTGTTAAAATGGACAAAAGGGTCAAGTTTCTGCCAGCCACGGCCCTCCCTTGGCAGCTTTTGTTGGACGGTAACAAAACCTCGCTTGTGTGCTCTGGCTGCAGTTTGTGTGTGAAAGGCTAGACAAAGCAGAGGTACTGTTGCTCTGGTAATGCAGGTGTTCTCAGGTTTGGGACCAGGGGATGAGAATTTCGAGGATAGGCAATGTCCCTGTCCTTGAAATCACTTTTTAGTTTTTATGAGGTCATTTTAATAAGGTTTGACCTTCAGTTGTAAATGTCAACTGTGAGCAAGATTACAGTCGATACAATCTGAAATATTTGGACTCTTGCTCATTGTTTTAGGCCACACTAGCTACTCTGCATCTTCCTCAAATTCCCCAGTGTCACTTCATTTGTGGTCATTTGATTAATTGTAAAAAATTCCCTTTAAAAATGTTACACCATAGAATAGTAGTAACATTAGGACCCTGCATCCTGAAGTGGGCCTGTGTGTAGTTTAAAGAGCAAGACGTGTTAATGGGTAACAGTTGAAAACACCATGTTCTCGTTACAGTTGTTTAATACATTTCTTTAATCTTTTCTTTCAAGAGTGTTCAGACTAAAACATTTGTTCCTGTCTGCAGCTCTGAGCCAGTGTGATGGATAATACTCTCTACTATTCGGACATAAACAAAGCAAGCAATCAAGAAGTTTACTTGTAGATAAATCGCTAATTAAAATGTTTTCGTTGCAGTAATGCATGTGTGTGTGTACCTTCATTTAAATGACCACAAACGTATTCATTCAAACACATATCAGCCACGTAGTATTACCGTATTATTCCAAGTAGGAGGTAGTTTCTGGATCTTTGAGCTTTACGGGGATTTGGTTGCAGCATTAAAAGGTAAATTTGAAAGGGAATTACAGAATACAAACGCTTAAAAGGAGCACGGAGAGGGGGAACAGGAGATATTTGTCTCCTTTGCAACCCTGCATAAAATCGACACATCCACACACCCTTGTGGGCTTGAGGACTCACGCTCCGGCACGTTGTGTGTCTGCTGTCTGTGCAATGCAACACTGCCATCTATGGATAAGAGCTGTAGGCCGCTCACTGTTTATCCCGCATCACGTTGCCGCCTGTGTGCGTCCACACGCAGCCGCCTGGACGCGCCTGTCATCTGGAGGAAACTCCTCCCTGCAGACAGCGCGTCCTGTCGCCTTCCCAGCGCAATGGTCTCCTGGATCATCTCTAGACTTGTGGTGTAAGTCCCCCTTTTTTTTAAATTAATTTAAAACATTCTCTGTCATAGAGGGATATGAACAGATCGCATCGCCTGATTGTTGCAGGTGGCAAATCGAGACGCACATTAACGGTGGAGAAGCTGCGCGCTTTACAAGCCCCCGCATTTCTGCCTGACAGCCTTTTTAATTAGAATCAGACGTCAACATAGAGAGCAAGTGTCGTGCTGTTCATTTCTGACTGAAAGCAGCCCGGGTTTGATGGGATTGTACTTTGTCGTTTCAGCCGGAATGAGCCCCGGGCCTGTACTGTATTTCTTAACAGGCTGGCAGCGCGCAGCAGTCTGCCACTCTTTGTTTTTATCAAGTGATTTATTTTTTATTCTAGACAAAGAGATGACGTTATTGAGTGAATAATGTATTATCGTCATACGAGATGATAAAAATGAGTCAGATCCTGAAATCTGGGGGCTTCTTTCATAGCCAGAAGCCCTAAATGTCACTGAGTGGCGAGGTGTCTGAACAACAGGAGCGGTCTTTGAGTGGACCAATATTGAGTGTGGATGTCCCACATTGGAAAAAAAAAAAAACAAAAGGGATGGGTCAACCTTCTCAGGTTACAATGCAAGAGCATTTCATGTTATAAGAGTGGATGCATACACCCCCATGCTTTTATATCAATAGCTGCCTGTTTCCTATTATTATTAGTGTAGGTTATGGCTATTTTTTTGCCTGCACAAACTATGAATCAGCACCATTGCAGACTGTGTAAAGTAACAGCAGGCTCTAACCTCGAAATAGGGAAGCAATTACATTTCGATAACGAGATTTTGTTACACTGATTGGACTGCCAGCGCTTTGGCAGCTCAAAACCTGGTTATGCAGATTCGTTTTTGGATCGGTGGCCAACAGAAAGGTTTTAGCTGCGTCGATATTTTAAGCGTCCTTGTGTTTCTGAACTCCGAGTTAGCCGGCCAGGCCCGAGCAACATGATGTGGGTCAGTAATTTGATCAGGTCGCACTTACGCAGCTGTTGCTGTTGCTTGGTTGTAGCACTTTCACAGAGTCCACGTCTCTGTCCGGACACCCAGCAGCACAGGTGCTTGCATAAGAGGAGGAATTTAAAGAAAAAAGACAACATATGTGAACCAATTTTACCTGAAATGACTTGACTTTATCTGTCAGCTGCCAAGCCCGTATTAGCCATGAGTAATACTTAGGCTTTACAGTTTCTGATTGACCTCATCTTTCCTGGAAACCTGTAAATGTCTACAAGAGGTCCAAAGATTCAAAACAAAATGTACATACAAATGCTTAAGAAGAAAGAATTATTCCCAAATGTCTATATATGGATTGCTTTAAAGCACAGCATACACTGCTGTGGAGAAGTCTTTAGTCACCCCTCATAATTTGCTAGGAAAATGGGAAATAGGTGCAGTGATTTATTAAAACACACAAATACACATGGAAATAGAGTATAGAGGAAAAAAAACAGGCTGTGCAATAAAAATCTGATGCGATCACTTTTATTCTTTAATGCCTCCACTCTCACAGATGAGTTTTCTTGTTGTTTCAGGAATAGTTCTCCAAGCTTATGAAGGACATTCAAAGCTTGTCTTTGGATGTTGCCTGCATTTTGTTGTGTTTTCTATCAAATGTCTTTTGTTCTCTGCTTGTCAGTTTTCCTCAATTTTTTTAAGGACACGCTGCACACCATGCTGAGAAATTACAAAGTTTCAGCTACTGGCTCTTTAGGAATCATCTTGTTGGTCCAAAAATACTATTTTATGCCTGTCAAACTGTGTTTTTATGGGAACCTGACAGCAACAAAGTGCCTAAAGGTATAAAATTACTTCTTCACTAAGTTGTCAGTTATGTGTAGTCACAACACTGGTTCATCCCCTGGGTTAGGTGCTCAAAGGATTCACAGGTAGTCATAGGAACCAATAGTTTTTGCAGTACAAAGACTGAACAGCATATGAGTTAAACAACAGCCAGTGTCAAAAGAAGACATTTGAAAGACTTTCAGAAAGCCTGGAGAATTATTGATGAAGATCAATTTAAAAATTACAAGAAAGTCTCTCACTTTGGAAACAAAACATAGACTTTTTCACAGCACTTTAATGTTTTTAATCATGTTTTATTGAATTAATCTCCTAAGACCCGAACTCCTCCGTGGCATTCATTTTTAATTTCTCTTTGATATTTGGGGTGATTGGGACCTGATGAATGTAAAAACAAAGAATTACCAGATTTCTTTTCTTTTTTCTTTACCAAATTTTTGTTTCTGAGAAAAATGAGAGCCACATATGAGGATATTTGTCTAAAATTTCGATAGCACAGTGGCAGTATAACATCCTCGTAAGTGGATATCAGGCCCTTGTAGAGCAAAATTTAGTATTTTGGTCTAAACAACCCAAAATGTGATGTCCACATATGTGGACACCAGGTCCTAGGAGGTTAAAAATGTCTTTGCGGCATGTTTTTTATGTCTGAATATTAATCGGTTTTCTGTCTTTTAGACTCGTCTTTGGTACACTATATCCTGCATACTCTTCTTATAAAGCTGTGAAGTCCAAAGATGTGAAAGAATACGTGAGTAAAATGTTTTTTAGCTTTAAAATAGTAACACCATGGTGTATTAGTAAATAGAAATGTTTTATGTGGATTTGCATTAACAGATTTGACTTTTCTATGACATTGCAGGTGAAATGGATGATGTACTGGATAATATTTGCCCTATTTACATCTGTGGAAGTGTTTACAGACATGTTTCTTTGTTGGTAGGTGACTGCAGATGTTTTGTGTCAATGATCGTACAGAGGCCCTCCGGGGAATATATTTCAACTCTTGTCTTGAGTCTTGTAGGGTTATCATTAACAATCTTTATGGCAGACATAAAAAAAACACAAGTTATTGTGTTTTACTGCTACTCCGTGTTTTCACTGCAGGCTTCCTTTCTACTATGAACTGAAGATAGCCTTTGTGGTGTGGCTGCTATCCCCTTACACTAAAGGTTCCAGTGTGCTATACAGGAAGTTTGTTCATCCCACGCTTTCCTCAAAAGAAAAGGTGAAATCCCTTTCCTTTTTGTTGTTGTATCTTCCTTTATTTCCTCTGGTGCAGTTAAAGGAAAGGCTTAGGGGGCAAAATGTTCAGTCTAGGCTTTAAGCTAACACGCGTGGTTTTGTGTCCAATAGAACTGGAGTTTTGCGACTGTCTCAGGAACAAAAGTGCCTTTGTGCCAATTCACTTTCCCACTTAAGCTTTTAAAAATGTGTCCGCTGGACAGAGGCAAAGACATGTCACAGTCTTCGTCTGTTCGTCTTTTTCTTTCCACCTTTTTTCCCCCTCTGTTTGTGTGGCAGGAAATTAATAAATGAGCTTTCTGAAGATCAAAAGCCACAGAATGAAATGATGCAGTCAAGCAACACATGAAACAGCTGTCCAGCAATTACACAATGCTAATGAAAAACATCATGTTCATGTGATTCTTTTTTTTTTTTTGCTCTTTGTTTAGGACATTGATGAGTATATCTGCCAAGCAAAGGACAAAAGCTATGACACACTGGTGCATTTTGGGAGAAAAGGACTGAACGTTGCAGCCACAGCTGCAGTCATGGCTGCAACAAAGGTAATGCAGACTCAGGACATTTGTTTTGTACTGCGCTGGGGGTACGGTGCTCAGGCATTGTAAATAAGGTGTCAAGCTTGATGTTTTTGCGGCCGATCACATTCATGAAGCTTTGAACATTTGTTTTTGAAGCAGAGGACGCAGCAGATTACTGTAATGTTTATGCATTTCATGATGCCATGTCATCCCCAGCCTGTCTCACACTGCTGCTGATACTAAAACATAGCCTTTCCCGGTTTAGGGTCAAGGAGTTCTGTCAGACAGACTCAGGAGTTTCAGCATGCAGGATCTCTCTTCCTACCAGTCTGACCCTGTTGACAGCAGCTCCGACACTACGCAGCCTGCAGCCGCACAGCACCGAACCCGACCTATGATGCGCAGCAAGTCTGAGAGCTACAACAAGGGTGAGGAGATGTGATTTCCATACTGCTTCATGCCACCTACAGTAGCCCTGAAAACTAAATAAACAAACAACAAATAATAGTCTTATAAAGCATTATAAAAATGTAAATTAGTTAAATAGCACAACATACCGAAAAATATGGAAATATGGGCTCCATGAGCACACTGTAGGAGCCATTACAATGCTGCAGCAGTGCCTGCCTGGTTTGTGTGACGCAGATTATCAAGGCGATATCTGTTTTCCTGTTCAAGTTCGTTTAAGCCCAAAGATATTGTTTAGTACCTCAGCTTTCCTGACTGGCCCCCTAACCTCAGCCCTACCTTCCTGTTTGGAGCAGGTCAGGCCCTCACAGGGCTAACCATCCTGTGACAAAACTCGCATGCAGCTGGAGGGATTTTGTGCCAACTTTAACAGCATGTGGAATCGGTTATTGTTTGTCCTAATTCGGTGCCGTATTTTTCAGATAATTTAGAAATTTAGAAGTAACAACTGTTAATATCGATGGGGTTACGGTATTATTAAATAATGAATCTTAGCAAGGGTATGTCATCAAATATTTGGTAACCAAGCTGCTGTAAACATCTGAGCCAGCGTTTGAATTTTCATTCATTCTGAGGATCTTTGTTATTGCCGACAAATCCAAGTAAAAGACCAAAACCATTACTTTCTGTGACTTAGACGTTGTCTGTTGTTCATATTAAGGCTGCATATGTTTATGTGTCTAAATAATGTCCTAAACAGCTGAGCAGTGTAGCTACTTGGATACATTTGTTGGGGACTATTTTCAGCTGTGGATTAATACACATTTGGCGAGCTGTATTTTTAGTTGCACGGTTGGTTTGGGGTGGAGTTAAAATTAATATGAATCATAATAAATGTCAGCTGGAGCTAAGATGTGGTTCATTAATGTGTTTTTTATACTTTCTGTATAACAGCTTAAGGCGCAGAGGCATCAGAAAGTTGCTTTTTTTGTGGTTTTGATCTTTTTGTGAGATCATTGGATTTGCTGACAACAACAAAATCACCAAAATGCAAAACCACTAAAGCTTCTACGATATTATGTTTTGTCTTCTGTTGTGGCATTATTTGACATGGAAAACAGGCTAATAAGGTTTACTCTGACTCTTAAAATAATAGAAAGGAGGACATAAGGAGGACTAATAAGAACAGCCTTGTTATGCTTGTATTTGCTGCAGCAAATTGCTGTTTGATCTCAGTCGTGCAGCATGCAGGATGATGATGCATTATGATATGAGCATTCGTAATCCCCAAACTGACCAAAATCAGCTACATCTCTTCTGTAATGAAATGGGAAGCATTAGGCCTTTGATTCGTTAGTTTTTCATTCCCTGCTGCCGACCTTTTCCCACGGTACAGGGCAGGATTTTGACATGACTGAGTTTGAGGTGTTGGGGTTGGACCAGTGGGACTCCAAGGAGTTTCTGTCCCAGACTGCTTCAACTTCTGAGTCTGAGCCCACGCCCATTACACCCAGTATGACACCCCAGTCCACCCCACCCTCTGCACCCTCTCTACCTCCCACTCCGGTGGCTCTGGAGCAGCCTGAGGAGGTGAGGAAAGAGGCGCAGGCAGCATCAAGCTCTCCACAGCTCAGGCTGACTAAGCGGAAGGCTCCTGAGGTACACTGCCTTGTGAACGTGGCTGCTCAGCTGCTGTCTGATCCTAACTGCCCCTTGAGAGTGGTGATTTACTCAATGATTCACTAATTTCTGCTGCTGCGTGCCTAAATAAATCATCATGGTCCAGTACCTATGCGATGGTGGAGAGCCAGATTGCTAATAGAATTTCTGCACTGATGAAACTGAATCATGCATTAACTTGGTAGAAACATTATTTAGTTCAAATGAATGCATGATTGCAGTGACTCAGAGTTTTTGGAAATATTAAACATTGTTGATAAATTCACACGGTTTGCCTTCTAGTGTGTTTCACCCATTTAGAATAACTTTTAGTTTTGATGTGGAAATGTTTGTGTGAAATCCTTCCCCGGAATGAACCAGCAATTATTCATAAACCTCAACACCTAGTATGTCTTTGATTGACATTCTCAATGAACAGCTAAATAAAGCAGGATTATTAAAGGATAAAGCTGGCAATATTTTTTTTTCAGTTGTCAGAAGATTACACGAAAAAATCAACAATGAATTGATACTACATATGAGTGTTGCCTGGGTAGCTAAAGCCTGAAAGAGCTTGTTCCTTCTTCCTATGTGACCCAAACCCTGGTAGAAACATCAGTGAGCCACAGTGCATGCGCTGAGTGACATAATGTTTCATCACAATCAACATGGGACTGTAGTTTTTTGTTGTTTTTAAGTTATTACCACATCAGTCCCCTGATACCACAAATACTCTGCTGAGAAACAAATGTGCATTTACGCCTCGAGACCTAGGACTTTTTTCCTCCCCCTCCCAATCAGTTAGTAACAGCTCCACAGATGCAAGGCCAAACTTACCTATTCATTGCTATTCTCTAAGGTCTCGCTATTGACAAGAGAAACGTGAGAAAAACAGTAAAGCATGCTTCTCTTAACCACCAGGCCAAATTCAAGTTTTAAAGACACGAGCTCTTAATTAAGCTGCATATTAAAATCACGAACAGCCTCTCAACAGTCAGTAAACACTGATGTCATTTAAGCTATTCTGTGCCACATTTGATTCAACATACACTCACCAGACACTTTAAGTACCACCTTGTTCTTACCAGGTGGAGCCTATTTTGTTTTCAGAGCTACCTTTAGTCTTCATGGCAGAGATTCAACAAAATACTGGAAACATTCCTCAGAGATTCCAGTCCAGGTTGACATGATAGCATCACACAGTTTCTGCAGATATGTCCGCTGCATATCCATGGTGGGAATCTCCCGTTCCACCACATTTCAAAGTTGCTACGTTGAATTGAGATCTGTTGACTGTGGAGGCCAGAACAGTGAACTCATGTTAAAGAAGCCAGCTTGAGATGATTTAAGCCTTGTGACATGCAACATTTTCCTGCTGGAAGCAGCCATCAGACGATAGGTACTGTGGTCATAAAGAGTTGATTTTAAGGGACCCATAGTATCCTATAAAATACTAGGATACTGGCAGCATTTCTTCTATTGTCCAATTTTTTGAGCCTGTGGAAATTGCAGCCTCGGTTTCCTGTTCTTAGCAGGAGTGGCACCTGAAGTGATCTTTTGCTCTTGTGTGTTCAAAGAAGCTCTTCTGCATAAACTTGGTTGCAAAGAGTGGCTATTTGAGTAATCATGTCATGCTCCTCTGACATCTGATATCAAAAAGACATTTCACCCAAAAAACTGCCACTCACTGCATTTTTCTCTCTTTACATACCATTCTCTGTAAACTCTACAGATGGCAGTGTGAGAAAAATCCCAGTAGATCAACAATTTCTGAAATACTCAGACCAAAACCATCTGGCACCAACAACCATGCCATCACTTAAATCACTTTTCTTCACCATTCTGATGCTCAATATCCAGCAGGTCATTGTTCGTAAATGCACTGGGTTCCTGCCGTGTTATTAGCTTTTTAGATATTTGTGTTAATAAGCAGCTGAACAGGTGTCCCTAACAAAGAATTAAACACAACACATTCATAGTCATAGTGATACTAGGCGGCCTCTTCAGTAAAAGTGTTGCACTTGGCAACCTTTGAAAGCGTTACATGATGTGTTTTTACCCTGGAGACAGTCTGGTCCCAGCACACTGAGCTGATAGAGGTTAATCCACAGAAGAAGATTATTCACTATTACACTGTTTACTCCTCTTTTGTAATGTTTACAGTACATTTTTTTAAATTGCCGTCTGCTCCTTAAAAGGAATTAAAGTAAATATTTGCAATCTCCTCTCCTGTTAATGACTTCTGTAGAAATAAACAGGCTTTGGTCTGAGAGGTAAATTGGAAAAACAGGGAAACCGTTTCTTAGTTTCGCTTTCATCTTGACAATAAGAAAAATCCAAAATAATGCCAGCCTTTATCCTTTAAATACTTTGCGACTCCTTGCAGCTACTGGCTGACTGAATTCCATCTCTCTGTTCGCTTCTCTCGTCCCTTCTAGCCTCCTCATAGAGTCTTAAGGCCTCTCACAAGATCCAGGAGTGCTCTTTCTTCGAACAATGAAGCCATGTGAAACTGTCCTCAAGACTACTCCAGCTGCCTTTGCTGCAAGAAGTTAAAACAAAAATACTGAATGGCCAAAAGCTACATGACTGAAGCAGCCCTGCTTTGGAATATGGTATTACCAAAGTGACCTATGATGACCCCTCTATATACAGCATATAGCAAGTGACTCATGATTTAAAATGTTGAGGTAGGAGAAATGAGTGAATGGGTGCCATGCTGAGAAGACACGTTGAGTTTGTTGGTTATTGAATATGTATTTATGTACAGGTTTATGTGCGCTTCATCTTTATGATTTCTTTGTTTTTAATCTATCAAGTCTGGACAGGCAAATGCATGTGTGTCTTCCCAGGCATTAGTCTGCTGTTATTAAACAGAATGTACTGTCACTGAACATTACAGCAGGCACAGTGAGCAAGAGAATGTGATAGAAGCCAAGGATCAACAGCATAGACCGGGCTGTTTTTACCCACGTGAAATAATTTTTCTCTGGAGAGCAGCTTTTCTGCACTTCAATAATTATCACAACAAAGTATTAATAAATGAATCAGTTATCCAAGCGAAGATCAAGCGACAAGTGACAGATATGATTCTGTTTATTACCTCTCTCTTAAAGCCTTAAAAAAAGAGATAGCAGAGACTTAAATGTTGCATTTCCAACAGTGTTCTTATTAATATGCACTAGGTTTAGAATAGAAATCACTGCCCTCAATAATCTAAAATAGCTGAATAAATAAATAAATATAAGTCACTGAACACCACCATTAATCACTTTCATTATTGTGCGTTTTTTCGGTGGTAAATAGTTTTTTGTGTACCAAAAAACAACACGTGCATCACAGATTTAGAAAAGAAAGAAAGAAAAGAGAAAAAAAGTCATTACATAAGATGTTTCGTTAGTGGAGCTGACTGTTTTTGACAATCTGTTTAGTTTCTAAGCATGTTCTGTCATTTATTTGGCAGTTTTTAGTGCAATTAGGATTAAGTCACTTTTCTGCTGTAGCAAGAGTAGGATACTACATGGTTAAACATTAACTGTATATGGACATGGTTGTTTTTTCTTTTTATTTACATGTTTAAAATCACTGTGCAATGTTCTGCTGTGAACTGAGCAACTCTAAGCCCGACTCTCGTTACCGTTATTTGCTTCCGTTGTTATTTAGAAAATCACGAGAGTGACTTTAGTGGTTTTTCAGGTTTACAACCTCTCTGAATTAGCAGTGCGTGGTGAAGCGTTGTTTGTTTTCATCCTGAACTTTACTCGCTGCGCCTGAACCTCGGCGACGTTCTAAACAAAGTATCACTGTGCTGGTTGTCGATTGACAGGATTAGCCCAGTAGATTTCTAACTTTCCTCTATGTATCTGTATCATTTAAGGTGGGTTTGAAACAAAAAGCTTCTCAGGTACAACTGTTCTGTTTACACGTCACTCACTCTGATGTTGTAGATACACTTATTATGCACATAAAATGCTCTTTAAACAGATAAACGGTGAAAAAAATGGGGGGTGGGGGGAATCAAATGATGTGTTTAAGCATTAGTAGTATCTGTGGTAGTGTTGGAGGTGATTTCTTTGAAATTCATTCAAAGCAAAACAGGAAAAAACATGTTACAAAGTTGCAGATCTGTATACTTGTGTGTAGATCGATGAAGTCATCATTGCATGATGTTTTGTTATTAATTTGTATGAGAATTTGATTTCTTAAGTGCTTTTGTGTGAAGCTGTTGGCCTCTTCAGATGCCTTGCTGGTAAACATTTTCTTCTTTAGTTGATTTATAAAAAGAAAAAGAAATGTTGTGGCTATCAGTTGGTTAAATATATATATATATATACACATACACACACGCATACAAACATGTCTTATTAACTGGTAAATTAGCCACTTAACACTTTATTCAGTGGGAGACACGCAAGTCATTGTACTAACATATCCTCAGATTTTTTTTCTGGCAGGCCAGAATGTCAAGTTAATTCAACTTAAACTTAATTGTGAATTATGAAACGAAAAGATGTGATGTGATGGCATATTGGTTTTATGACTATCAATTTGTTTCACTTGTTTAAATATTTCTGTTGGTGAAATCAACTTACAACCATTAAATATAAAGCAGAACTTTTGTGTCTGTGTTCTTTTTTCTGCGTATTTGCTTTAAAAGAAAACGTACAGGGAAAGTATGGGAAAATGTGATGATTTATTTGACACATATACAACATCATTACATTACAAGCAGAAGACAAGATGCCATTACGTGAATCAGCAAATTAGGGTTTGAGGTTGACCCGATCGTGGTACTTCAGGTATGGATCATCGACGTACCAGTTTCTCCTTTTCCAAAATGAGGTTGTCATTTTATCTAAAAGCTTGCATTGTGTTTTGCTACAGAATACGATCTCTCTGAGGCGCTTTCGTCTGGCAGGTTTCTTCTTCCAGAGCTTCTTCTTGTATCCAGCCTGTTCATATTCAAAATCAGGAAGTTAAATTTAACACATTACCTACAATTAACATATGATTCAAGCAGCTGTAACACATACAAACCTTGCGTCGGATCCAAAGGCCACAGTGCAGCCTCATGAACCTATCTGTGACAGATTTTACACTCTTTCTCTTCCCCTTCTTAACACTATAGTAAGTCAGACTTCTGCTTGGCTGCTGAGTTAGACTAGGAACAAGTGCCGACACCCTGCAACAACACAAAGAAGCAGAACAGCTGTTACAAAGAACATACTTACTTTGTACACCTGTTCACCAGCTTGTTAACACAAATATATAATTATCCACTCATATGGAAGCAACTGAGTGGCTTTTCTCATGTAGAGGACGTACTGAAATTAAAACAGAGCATCAGAATGAGGAAGAAGTGACTCTGAACATGGTTGCATGGTTATTTGTGTCAGAAGGGTCAGAGTATTTCAAAAGCTGCTAATCTGCTGGGATTTTCCCAAACAGTCATCTCTATGGTTTACAGAGAATGAGCTAAAAAAAAGAGAAAGTATCCAGTGAGCAGCAGTTTGGGTGGAAATGCTTCAACACCAGAAGTCAGAGGAGAATGACCAGACTGCTTCAACTTGGTAGGAAAGCAACAGTAGCTCAAATACCCACTATTATGACCAAGCTGTGCTGAAGAACATCTCTGAACAGGGAACTGATGCTACAGTTAATACTGGGTCACCAAAATTGGACAACAGAAGACAGGAAAGAGCTTGCCTGGTCTGATGAGTCTTGATTGTTGCTTCACATTGAGATGGTAGGGTCAGAATATGAGTAAACAACATGAAAACAGGTCAAACTGCCCTGTATCAACTATTGACACTGCTGCTGATGTTGGAATAGTGTGGGGATATTTTCTTGGCATATTTTGAACCCTTAGCACCAACTAAGCTGAGCATTGCCGCTGACCACGTCCCTCCCTTTCTGACCTCTGTACTCATCTTCTGACGGCTGCAGGATAAAGCATCATGTCACAAAGCTCAAATCTTCTCAAACTCATATCTTTGAACATGGCAATGAGAATGACTGTATGCAAACGGCTCCATCATCACCAGAATGCAACTTTGGGATGTGGTGGAGCAGGAGACTCACATCATGGATGTGCAGCAGACAAATCTGCAGCAGCTGTGAGATGCTGTCATGTCAGTAGGGCTGGGCGATATATCGAGTTTTGTTTTTTTTTAAAAATCGATATATTTTTATACGAGATATAAGATGTGACCATATCCTTTATATCGATATATACGTTATAATTATAGTTGTGGAGCCACAAGTTTGCCTCTCTTTCGTCCACTTTTGTCTCTACGCAACGTTACTC